ATTCCTTCCAACAAGCTAGCTCTCCTGGATGCCCACTCACGGCCACTGCCCTGCTGGTGCCTGTGTGACGATTCCTAACTGGAGCACCTGCTCTGCACTTTCAGAAGGAATTCTGAGTTCGGTGTTCTGACTGATCCTAAAGACATATTCACAGGTCTGAGTCATGCTGAAGTTTGTTCCAGGAATAAGTTCCAGAACAAAAGTGGCATGTCTAAAGGACAGTACAAACTCTACAATCTATAGGACAGAGCTAAAAGTGAACAGAACTTCACAGAGGAGAGGTTACATTTTAAAAGGGGAGCGACGGAGAAGGGGAGGCAGCGGGCTAATAAATCAGCATGCTTTACTGAGCTCATTCCCTGTGAAGGGGCTCCCAATTTAAAAAGGACCGGTCAACACACAACTGGCACAGGCAGCTGGGCAATCTCTCCCTCACCGCCTACTCCATTAAAATGGACCTTTCCACATCACATCACTGAGAGTCAAAAACGCTTGGCGTTACATCTGCCTAACAATGTCCCTATACCAGTAACATACTCAAGCAAATTAAGGGTCTAAAATTTATCTTAAATGGAATTCTATGCTTCCTAATAATAGTTCGTATAGAATTAGAGTGGGATACTACTCAGAAGCAGTTTTATATGTCTTGATTTATAGGAACAATTCAGTTATACTTAAATACTACTTGTCTTTTTTAAGTTTATGTAATATGGCTTTAACAGAAAATATTTTTCCTTTAAATATGCAATCTTTGCTGTTCGAGGGCTTTTTTTTTTTTTTTGCTTTTGGTCAAGAAGAATCAATAGCTCTACAGATATACTGACAAATTTTATTCATAAGCATATCTGTCTTGTAAACAAAGGCACATCTATGAATTGGTCTTCTGTTGAAGTAATCTGTAAAAATGTATCTCAATATACAGGCTGTGCCCAGTTATAAACAAGACCTGTTCCTGTGTCTTTAAGAATTAGAAGATAATTCAGAACAGATACATACAGTTCTTATTTATTTAGCCTAACTTTAGTGCAAGAAAAAGGAGCTCTGGTGGTATAATGCCTAAGGCACTTGCCTGCTAACCAGAAGGCTGGCGGTTCAAACCTACCAGCCACTCCTCAGAAGGAAGGTTGGGCAATCTACTTCTGTAGTTATACTGCCTCGGAAACCCAAGGAGGGGTCACTATGAGTCGGGGCCGACTCGACGGCAAATAACAACAACAAGAACATGACATGGCACAGGAGCTCTGGTAGCATAGTGCCTAAGGCACTTGACTGCTAACCAGAAGGCTGGCGGTTCAAACCCACCAGCCACTCCTCGGAAGGAAGGTTGGGCAATCTACTTCTGTAGTGATACTGCCTCGGAAACCCAAGGAAGGGTCGCTATGAGTCGGGTCTGACTCGACGGCACATAACAACAACAACAACGTGACATGGCACCCGGTTACTATATACAAATCTTAATTCATACAGAACACTATGCATATACATACTATAGAACCACATCGTGTTGCTACCTTTCACATCTCATATTTTAAGCCATCAAGAAACTTTTATTGCTTTTGTGTAAAATGCAAAACCCTCACAGGGCTAGCTCCTCCCGAATGCTATCTCAGTTCCCAAAAAAGAAAGAGAAAAGCTACTGATCAATATCAAATCTGAATTTTTGAAAAAAAAAAAAACAGAATTACAAAAATGCCAGAAAAACAAATCAACAAATAAGAAAATGAAAATTAGCAAAGACAAAATGAAAAGCGGGAAAAACCATCCTTTTCCCCACGAAGATGGTTCTCATTCTTCAAATAAAACAAGAAGAAACAGACACAGAACATCAGAGATAATAGGATTTAAAAGTCAGAAACAGTTTAAATAAATAAACATAGTGCAGACTTAGGAAATCTTCTCTCACCACTGTCCAGTCGGACCCAACTCACAGCGACCCTTCTTGGGTTTCTGAGGCGGTATCACTACGGAAGTAGACTGCCCAACCTTCCTCCTGAGGGATGGCTGGTGGGTTTGAACCATCAGCTGTCTGGATGACGGTCAAATGCCTTAGGCACTATGCTAGCAGAGCTCCTAACTCTCCCAAGAAGCCTAATTGTTAACTTTCTGATGTTGGGCATCTGGTTACCAAACTGCAATTTGCTGCATCCTGTAAATTACCTTCACACTCTTCCTAATCTCATCAGCTTCAACAACTTCTGAAAATAGTAAATTGGGCACTGTTTCCAGCAGGAGATAAACCTATGTGTCATCACCGTATGACACACAAGGAAACAGTTCCTTGTAATCACACTTGCATTCTGAGGGATTTTAATTCATGCATGGACACAAGACAATGTACAAAGACTACCTTTGAAATGTAGGTAAGTTTAATGGCTCCAACACGTGACGATCCAGAGGGTAGGTTCTGGAAACAAATTATTAATAAACAGTTAATATGTCACATTAGGAACTTATTTTTCATTACAATGTTCTATCCACACTAAGAAAAGTTCAAAAATTAGGTTTTTTATTTAATTTTTAATCTAATTTTTAGATTTTATAGTATCACACATACAAAGCAACTTCTCCAGTCCCAGTATTTACCAGGTCTGCAGTCCAGCTGACAACTGGCTAACAAAACGGAGTCTGCTCTGCTCCCTCACAGTGCATTCCACAGCTACCACGCTACTTTTTTTTTAATCACTGTAGCTAAGAAAATTTTCTTTTTCATTATTTAAAAAGCCATAAACAATATCAAAGTTTGTTCCTGAAAGCAACAAGAAAAAACATTAGCTACACGTAAAACAAATTTTAACAAATCTCAAAACACCATATATACTATTTTGTTGTATTACGACTGTATTTCAGCAAATCTCTCTCTTTAAAAAAATGCATTGGATTTTCTCCCATTTAAATGGTTTAGTATTTATTATATCATATTTAATCTACAGTGATACTTTTTAAAAAAAAAAAAATATTATTCCCACATTTTAAAGCCTAGGTGGGAATGTATAAAATGGCACTTTTATACAAAATATTTTTATTCCTTTTCCCTTAACAAGTTTGGAATGTGGCTCATGTCACCAAAAAAAGCTTAGCATCAAGAATTCAGAGTGGGGAGAATCTTCCTGATTCAGGCTACCAGAAAAGACTTAAGTTCCTCTGTAGACAAAAGACATTTAAGCTGGATCTTGAGGGAAAGGTGAAATTCTGGAACAGGAAGCCTGGGAGAGAAGCTATTCCAGGCAGAGCAGGCAGCTGAACTCAGGCGAGCAGATGAGAACGTCCAGAAGCTCTGTACCAGAGCAGGGATGTGGCGCGTGGGCGGTAGGTACTACAGGGCACACACAGCGCTGTGCAGAAAAGGAAAGTTTTGGAAATTAAACTGAGAAACTAATCATAGGGGACCTAAACAGAAAACTAAGTAGCAAGGCGTTGACACTGCTGAAGGCTTCTGAGCAGATCTGTAATCAAAGTTTTGCTCAGATTAAGAGCTCTGGTAATATAATGATGAAGGCAAGAAAACCAGATATGAGAATATGGGAAAATTATTAAAGAAAAGAAATGAAAAGGCAGGTAGAAGTTTTCAAAAGTAAAACTGGAACAATCTTGCTTGTCAACATTACCTCAGATGGAGGTTAAGCAGGATTAGTTTTTCAACTGTCTTTATAACAATGTCCATTAAAACGTGTCTATGGGCTTCTCACCAATGGTGTGTTAGCTTTCTGGATACAGTAATTACAGGGAAGCCTGCAAATTTCAAGACTGAAGATTCCTAAACATGACTGGTTACTGCTGACAGGAACAGGTCTTTTCAAACTTTCACTCCTATGTATGATAAAACTGCATTAGGTTCTGCTTTAAACTGTTTCCTATGTACCATCTTCCAAATACAAATTATAAATAATAAATGTTCAATAACATTATAATTTGTAATGTGTAACTATAAAAGTGTAGCTGTGCTCTTATGCATAATGTTTTATGTTTAGAGGTTTAGTTTGTTGCCAATTCTAGGCTCTTTTCTTGATAAGAACATGAAACATGAAGATGTCTTCAAGATCCCCTAACTACAATGAAAGCAATTTTTGTCAAACACTGCTACCTTTCTATTAAAAATCATTTTTTTTCTTTTAAGTCTTCCATACTTTTATTCATTTTAACCAGCTGAACAGAGCACTCAGCCCCTGTGTGGGGAAGAGGATGGGACAGCAAGCCATGACCAGAAGGGTCACTGATCACACAGCGGCACTGTGCAGGGGAATGAGGCATCTGTGAGCTAATGGAAGCTCAAAAGACCTAGTTTCTACACCCCAGCACGACTGATCCAAATTCAACAGGAAAAACTTGGGGTTCAAAATTTATTTGAAAATGGACAATCAAGACTCAACTAATATGAGACTGAGTACAAAAAGGGCAATAAGCCATTTGCTACTTAGGAGTTCCTGAACTCATTTCGCCAAAATAGCTTTCCAAGTCCCTTCAAAGTCATTTCCTATTCCAAAAACCAAACCCAACTCACTTCCATTGAGTCAATTCCAACTCATAGTGACCCCCATTGGGTTTCCAAGGCTACACATCTTTACAGAAGCAGACTGCTTCATCCCTCTTCCTTGCAGCAGCTAGTGGGTTTGAACCACCAACCTTTTGGTTAGGAGCCAAATGCCTTAACCACTACACCCCCAGAGCATTTCCTATTACAGCTTCTTAACTATTTAAATATCTACCATCACCCACCCACCTCCCTAAGCAAAATCTGGAAAGCCTGAAACTGAAGGCAGTGACCAGAGAAAGACACACTCCCCTCAGGACAGGGAAGCAATCTACTTTTCTTTCAATTATTTTATCAGCATAGCCATGTTATAACACCTTGATGTAACATACCCAACTTGAACCACCTGCTAACTGCCATTTTTCAGTATATCAAGATGGCTGAGTATTGGCAATTTCATATGATTCAACTTAATATAATAAGCTTAGCAAGACATTTTACTGAAGTTTTTCCAAAATAGTCTTGTAAGAAATAAGTTTTAAAATAAACTAGCTGATGTATAGCTAACCACACAAACACACCAGAGTCTGGGCTAACAGATGAATGCTGACTCCAAATTCTACACCTCCATCTGCCTACCCAACATATTGATTATTAATGTCTTCAATGAAGAGTATGTCTTGGCCGTTACATTTAAAAATGCCATAAAGCTGGTATTGAGGGCTCATATGCTGGTTGGCAAGGAGCTCTGGAGGTGCAGTGCCTAAGGCACTTGTCTGCTAACCAGAAGGTTGGTGGTTCAAACCCATCAGCTGCTCCACAAAAGGAAAATGGGACAATCTACTTCCATAAAGATTTACTGCCTCAGAAACCCAGTGGGGGTTTGTTATTAGTCAGGTGACTTGATGGCAATGAGTTTGGTTTTTTGGTTTATGCTGGTTTGCAGAATCAAGATTTTAAAGATTCTCGTAGATTGAAATGTAAAGATAAAATCAGTAAGAACAAACTGAATAAAGGCAGATATAAAATTCTGTATTTATGTTCAGAAAAACCAATGCACTAATTACGACCGAGAGATCTGGCTTAAAAACACTTCATGTGATAAAGACCTAGTTGAGTGTAAATTTTAACGTGTACCCTCCCTGCTTGAGCCAAAGTGAACTAATTCTTCTCCAAAGAAGCCCCCTCTTTCTTGCCTCAAGGTCTCTGCCCATGCTACGCTGAGCACTGGGATACGTACTTCACCTCTTGCTCAAAATACTACCCAACCTTCCAAATCAATTTCAAATGTTACCATCTCCATGAAGCCTTCAACTCTTTCTGTTAGTTATAAGCACGTCCTTCCCTTTGAACTCTATTTCCTTCCATGAATATGTTCTAATGAACATACTCTACTTTGTACTTATTTTTCTTAAGTGGAAGAACTGATAAAGGGAGGAATTTTGAAACAGAAAAACATTTTTCATAAAATTCAAGAGCAAACACCACATAACGTGGATGAACTTGGAGGACATTACGCTGAGTGAAATAAGTCAGTCACAAAAGGACAAATATTGTATTAGTCCATTATTGTAAAAGTTAAGGAAAAGTTTATCTATTGGAGGAAATTTTCTTTGTTGGTTACCAGGGGTGGGAGGGGAGGGGAGGGAACGCTGTTAGTTAGATAGAGATAAATGTTGATTTGGGTGAAGAGAAGGGCAATGTACCAAATGTGAGTGACAAATATGGCATCATTGAGGATGAGAAAGACATAAGAGGTACAAGGGCAGTACAGACAACAAATATGAACCCTTTTGCATATACAGTACTGAGTTGTCAGTGAAAGCAAACGGGTATATGGACAGATAGATAGGTGAACAGGCTAAACAATTAAGTATGTCTTAATGGGGAGTGTATCCAAGATCATATATAGGGTTGGCAGACAATGGTCCTATAAGTTTATGTGAATGATCAGAATTCCCAGGTGTATAGAAGAGCTGACAAGGGGCAAGGTTATGGTCACTGCTTGGTCACAGCCAGCTACCCAGAGCGACCGAGTAGTTGAGCCTGTGGGCTTGAGACCATAGTCGCAGGGGACATCAAGCTCAATTGGCATAACATACTATACAAAACATTGTTCCACCTCCTACTTTGGCGAGTAGCGACTGGAATCTTAAAAGCTAGCAAGCTGCCATCTAGATGCAACAATGGGTCTCTCCTCATCAAGAAGAAAGAAGAAAACCAAAATTAATGGAAACAATCAGTCCTAGAGACTGGTACACCATCCAATCTGCAACCTATACAACTATGAGACCAGAAGAACTAGATGGTGCCCGGCTACCACTGTCATCCACTTGGAAGGGAGGCAGGAGATCCTGCATAGAGAGGGAGAACAATGTGGAACAAAACTCAAAATCATTTGGAGGCAAAAAAAAGAAGGTGGGGACCAGGTTTGCTGGTCCAATAGAGCCTGGTGGAACCACTGAGACTATGGCCCCTAGCTGCCCTTGAGGTCTGGAATTGAACCCACACCTGTGGTTTCCAGCCAAAGTACAGGCATGTGAGTTAAACATTTACCTCAAGTAGACACACGCCCTGGAGAGAACAATCATGGGAGAAGGAAGGGCTGCTTACGCACAGGGAGACAGCTCAGGGCGCAGAAGACTATGGAGGGATGGACACTGGGAAGAGATAACTATGGGGAGGAAGTGGGAGGGGAGCTGTTGCACTGTAAATTTTGGTCAATGACATGAGACAAAGTATATGTGAACTGCTGTATGAAAAGTGAATTTACTCTGTAAATCTAACACCCAAATCAAAATAAAAAAAAAAAAAATTCAAGAGCAACCACAGAGAAGTCAACAAAACCTTGTGAAGAGAGAGGCAAACAAGGGAGAGAAAATGAGCAGAACTGTGCCATGGCTTAAGCTGTCACAACCACAGAGTGAGAAGAACCAGGAACTGGAGTCTAGTAGACAGTGCAGTAGAATTAGATGCAGTCAGGGTACCTAAGTCAGCTTCCACCTTGGGAAAAGGAGTCTGGGAGACAATCATGCCAGAGACAAAGACACAGGGTCATGAAGACATGGATCATGAGAGAGAGGACTGTGACTTCAGAAAACACGGTAAACATAAACATTTGATGTCTGCAGCCCTGCTGCTGTTCCCACTGACAGGTCAAAGCAATGGGGGTAACAATCACGTAGTGGCACATAGCCAGATTACTACCACACTAGAAAGGTGATTACACCCAGAGATAAGGGAGTAGAACAGGGACCCAACAAGCTCTATCACAATGGAGATAAGGAACAGTTTGAAGCAAAAACAGTCCCAGACAAAGTTGGCACTCAAGTAGTAACCAAACCAAACCAAACGCACTGCCCTCAAGTCATATCCGACTCATAGCGACCCCTCCTTGGGCTTCCGAGGCAGTATCACTATGGTAGTAGATTGCCCAGCCTTCCTTCCGAGGAGTGGCTGGTGGGTTTAAACCACTAGCCTTCTGGTTAGCAGTCAAATGCCTTAGGCAATATGCCACCAAAGCTCCTCAAGCAGTAACAGTGGAACGAAAATACTATCCTCCAAAACTTGAAAGGCTGCATGTGGAAAAGGACTAAAATTACTTTAGAGAGCTAGGATTAATGGGGCACAAGGGCTGATGCATAGAAGATAGAAGGAGCTAGATTCTGTCTCACAGAAAAAATGATCAAACCTGTCCCAAATGTAGTCAATACATTTTAGTCACATGTAGTTTGGACAACAGCTAATGCAGATGAGGCTGAAGGAGAGGAGGCTGAATTAATACCAATAGTCCCTTTCAACTCAATTCTGTTTAAAAGACGACGACAAAGCCTTCAGATCTATTCTAACCTCACACCCATTACCCGGCAGGAAGGCACACTCGTCTCTCCGCTCCTGCTGGGAAACAGAACGATCCCCTCCAGTGCCCACCTCTCCTTAGACCTTCTGTTCCTCACCTGCACCCGAACCCACTAGAAAACATCAGTGACTGGCAATGGGGCCGAGAAGCTCCCTAGAGCTAGAGACATATCCCTTGCTCAGCACATATGCTTTCCTTCAACACACATCTCCATCTTCAGCTGTTTTATAATAGTTTATATTAGAAGATAAAGAGTTTTCACAGGTAGAGAATGTTTAAAACTACTTAAGAGATAGATCTCTCATCTAAGGTCTCGCGTAGATCTTAAAACTTGGATTATAATTTTTTTAATTTAGGACATTACTCCAATGTTTGGAAAGCAACAATAAAATCAAAAGTGCATTTCAATTCATTAATGGCATTACTATGTCTGACACACAAACCCAGCACTAAAAGATACAAGGACCATCTATATGAAAGAGTATCGCAGAGTATAAATCAAAAACCAGCCAGCTCATGGTGACCCCACAATGTCTGACTAGTAACTGTACTCTGCAGGGTTTTCTATGGCTGACCTTCCAGGCCCTTCCTCTGAGACACCTCTGCGTGGATTCAAACCACCAACCTTTCCTTAGCAACTGACTGCGTTAACAGTTTGCACCACCCAGGGACTCCATTATCCAGTTAGTTTAGGTGCGAAGGAGGGGCGTGAAGCCAGGGAAGAAAACTCCAGATATATACTGTTTACTGTTTAGGAAGCTAAAACATAAGGCCTGTATTGTATACCAAGTACCTTATCTAACAAAAACTTTATATGCCTTTAATAGGTAACACTTGGGATTTTACAAACCTGTGGATTATCCATGTACCATACAAAACTATCTTCTTGGGTATCCAGTATGAAGTACCTTCGAAGAAATTTCCCACTGTTTTCATTTTCTTCAATGTCTAGAAAACCACAAATGCGATTCTGACGATCCACATAAGGCATCTCTGAGCTTGAACATTACACTGGAAAATAAAAATATTACCAATTAGCTTCCTATGAGGAAAGAACTCAGTGGAACTCAAGTACAAAACAGACTATGATTCCGTAGGGGGAGTTGGTGAATGGGAATATACATAAACACCTGAAGCACAGTAAATGTCACTTTTGAAACTAAATTTATTATTAAAAAAAAAAAAAAAACACTCACCACTATCGAGTCAATTCCGACTCATGGTGACCCCACTGGGTTTCTGAGGCTGTAAATCTCTATGAAACACACTGCCTCATCTTTAAGCAGTTACTAAATTCAACAGTTCACAGAGATGTGGGCAAAGGAGTGCCTCCCCTCAGCTGAATAATCTACTTAACTTCTTTCTAAACAAATCAAAGTGACCCAAAAAAACAGCCATTTAGACTTCAGTATAGATTACACTTTAACATAAAACAAAAATCCTGACAACTGGACCAATACGTATCATCATGATGATATTGAAGTTGTCAAGGATTTAATTTTACTTAGATCCAAAATCAATGCCCATGGAAGCAACGGTCAAGAAATCAAATGACATATGGCACTGGGCAAATATGCTGCAAAAGACCTCTTTTAAAGTGTTAAAAAGCAGAGATGTTACTTTGAATACTAAGGTGCCCCTGACCCAGCCATGGTGTTCTGAATCACCTCATATTCATGGGAAACCTGGATAACGAATAAGGAAGACCAAAGAAGAATTAATGCCTTTGAATTATGATGCTGGCAAACAATATTCAATGTTCCATGGACCGCCAGAAGAATGAACAATCTGTCTTGGGAGAAGTACAGCCAGAATGCTCCTCAGAAGTGAAGATGGTGAAACTCTGTCTCACATACTGTGGTCATGTGATCAGGAGGGACCAGTCTCTGGGGAAGGACATCACACTTGGTAAAGGAGAGGTCAGCACAAAAGAGGAAGACCCTTGACGAAAATGGATTCACACAGGGGCTGCAACGATGGCCTCAAACATAGCAATGATCATGAGGAGGCACAGGACCGGGCAGGGTTTCATTCTGTTGTAAACAGGGTCACTATGACTCAGAACTAACATAAAACTTCATTGCCTCATTCAGAAAGCTAGATAATGGACCTTTCAGAATTCTTTTAGAATATTTTTAAAGTTCGCAAAATAACAACAATAACAGTTAATGTTTATGGACCACTTGGTGGCGTAGTGCCTAAAGCATCTGACTGCTAACCAGAAGGCTGGTGGTTCACATCCACCAGCCAATCCTCAGAAGGAAGGCTGAACAATATACTTCCAAAGTGATACCACCTCAGAAACCCAAGGAGGGGTCACTATGAGTCAGATCCAACTTGACGGCAGTGAGTTTGGGTTTTTTGGTTAGTATATGCAAGGCTGTGTGCTGGGTTCTTCTCCATTCTGGGCCTCGTTTATGCTAAAAACCACCCTGTGAAGTGGACATCCCCATCCCCATCCGCAGAGAAGAAATATAACCCCAGACACAGGGGAGGCCACTTTCAAGGTTACAGAACAATAAGTAATGAATCAAAACTTCAACCCAGATTCCTGGCCTCTCAAGCTCTTATCTTGAACACTATATACTACCACCTCTTTCCAAAAAGTCTGTACTGTTACAACCAAAGTGAATCAAAATAAAATGACCTGATACCACAATAAGGGAGAGCTATGGCAGCATTATGTACCTCCTGATGAAAGACACAAACATCACCTTATGAAAGAGTTATATAACCAAAAATCATTTTTAACCTGTCTAGATTAAGTCTCCAGATCCCCTATGTCCAACTGCCAACTCACAGGAAATACAAAACACAGAGGAACGTTATAAATTGTTCCACAAGAGTTCTGTCAACAAGAGCCAGTCTGTGAACCCAATTTGGTGTGTAAACTTTCACCTAAAACACAATAAAATATATACATGGTTTTAAAAGAAAAAAAAAAAAAAGCCAGTATGTGGGAAACAACAGGGTAAACAAACTAGTTTCTTCAGCAAATACATGATTGTAGGAAAGAAAGAGAAGTCATAGTTAAAAGGCTCAAAAGCTATGGCCACAGTCTGGTTTGTAAGTACTGAAACCTTTTAGGACTGATTACAGTTAAAATCCATGACCTGTGGGAAAAAGCAATGTGCCCAGTTTCTCTAGAAACCATACTCCTGCGGTTCCTTCCTGCCATGATGTTCACCCCAAATCTGCACAGGTGTCTGTCTGGTACTTCTGTGGCACATCTTTGGCAGGGTGAATTTATGTAACCAGGTCTTTGTTTATCAGCTCAAGACAAGTTTAACTCACAGTCACAATTCAACAGTAACACAGCCTGGTGTAGTGTGTATTTTTATCGCTATCCTGAGCGCAAGCAGAGAAATGAAGCATTTCAAAAAGTTCAAACAAAACCACCCATTAAGTTTTTGTAGTGTGTATGCTGTTACAAATCTAGCACTTAGAAATTAAAAAAAAAAAAAAAAAACTTTAATGAATTTACGTAAGGTTTTAAAAAATTCCAGAATCAAAATTTAGAAAATTAGTACACTATACAAACATATACCCCAAGTAAAATCTATGAACTTCAGGGTGTTTTATGGCACTTTGTATAATGACTGTTCCCATGCACTTATCTTCTGATTCTGAAAAAATAGATCAGATAACATATCTACTTTAAAAGGCTCAGGTAGCTTGGAATGTTCCCTCTGAGAGAAGCCAGCAGCCATCTAAGAAACCTGACTGCCTTCAGGCTGTCATGTTTTGTGAAAACCAGCTAGTTACATGAAGAAGCCATGTGGAGAGAATGCTGGCCAGCTGTCTGCAGCCATCCCAGCCGTCCCAGCCGAGGTAGTGAGGAGGCTACTGGACATCCAGCCCAGCCAAGCCTTCAGATGACTCCAGCCTCAGTGACCACTGCAACCGCATGACAGACTGCGGCGCAGTAAATGACCTGGTGTGGCTTTTCTAGCCATAGTCTTTGTAACTCCCACCCAATTATTGAGTGGCACTATGCAAATAAGGTGTGTAGAACTCTGATGTTATGATTGGTTAGTTTTGTCACTCTACCCAGTTTAAAATGAGCCTTCCTAGAGGCAGAGAAAGGAGCTCTGGTGGTGTAGTGCCTAATGCATTTTACTGCTAACCAGAAGGTTGGCAGTTCAAACCCACCAGCAACTCCGTGGAAGGAAGACTAGGCAATCTACTTCTGTAAAGATTTACTGCCTCGGAAACCCAAACGGGGTCGCTATGAGTTGGAATAGACTCGATGGCAGGGAGTCTGGCTTTTTGTTTGAGAGGCAGAGAGGGATCTCACTGCCAGTCTAGCAGAGAAACAATCCGGCAGAGAGACAGTGGCTACGGAACCAAGAGGCATGAGACAGAGCTGCAGGCTCGCCTGGCCCATGGAGCCAGAAAGCGGAGTGCCCTTGGGCAGGAGGCTTGCTGGCAGAGTGGGGTGCACTTAGGTATACCTTTCAGCAGAGCTAAAAGAGCTTTTTAACACTTGCCCAAGCAGGGCAGAGGCCAGGCCGAGAGGCCAAGAGCCAGAAAGGCGTATCTGAGGGCATAGCAGAGGGGAGACAGTCCTGATCGAAGAATTGTATCCTGAGTGCATTCCTAAACCTGAATTGCAGTGTGTCACTTCCCTAATAAACCTCGGAATCACGAGTACTGTCTGTCTGTGAGTTCTGTGTGGTCCTTAAAACGAATTATCGAACCCAGCAGAGAAGTAGTGAGTGCCGTGGGAGGGACGTTGGTGAAAGGCTGGAGGGTATCGGCATGTCTGGCCTCAGGAATAAGCCTTGGGCTGCTGATGGTGATTTTGTCTTCCTCTTGTGAAGTTATAGGAGGTCAGAAGATACCACCTCCCTGCCCTTTTTGCACAGACCCAAGAGAGAAGTGCCTAGGTGTGCCTAGGTGAGCCCAGTCAGCCCAGAGAATAATGGGCTTTAAGCAACATACATATATATGAAAAAAATCCTTCAGGTACAGGCATACCTCAGAACATACAGGTTCAGTTCCAGACAACTGCAATAAGACGAAGACTGCAATAAAGCAAGGCACATGGATTTACTGGTTTGCCAGCACATACAAAAGTTATGTTTACACTATACTGTAGTCTATTAAGTGTGCAGAAGCATCATGAAAAGGTTTGAAATATTGGGAGAATGACCAACATGTGACTCAGAGACAGGAAGCAAGCACCTGCTATTGGAAAAATGGCTCCAAGAGACAAACACAGAGTTTCCACAAACCTTTAATTTGCAAAAATATGCATGACCTACAAAAGACAATAAAGCCAAGTGCAATAAAGTGAGGTATGCCTACATACAGCACATTCATATAGTATCTAGAGCATTTAAGAACTGTGTGAGTATATTCCTCTGGATTTTTATTGTTGGTTTTTGACACTACAGATAAAATTAACATCTACTTGGAAATTAAGACACACTTTTCAATAATCCAAGGTCAAAGAAGAAACTGAGAAGTTACACTAGAAAACATTTTGAACTCACTTTATATACCTTCTGTTGGTTCAAACCCACTGGCCACTCCTTGGAAGGAAGATGGGGCAATCTACTTCTGTAGAGATACAGCCTCAGGAACTGAAGGAGGGGTCGCTATGAGTAGAATCTATCTACTTGATGGGAGTGGGTTTTTTTTAATATATAAAATAGGTGGTAAAAAGACTGAAGAATTAACGCACTTGAATTATAGAACACTGAATATACTGTGGACTGCCAGAGAAGGAACCAATCTTTCTTGGAAGAAGTACAGCCAGACCGCTCCTCAGAAGTGAGGATGGTGAGACTTCGTCTCACGTACTTTGGACATGGGACCAGGAGGGACAGTCTCTGAAGAAGGACATCACGCTTGGTAGAGGGTCAGCAAAAAAGAGAAGCCCCTCGGCACAACGCACCGACACAGCAGCTGCAACAACGGCTCTAACACCCAGGCTGTGAGGATGCCACAGGACTGGGCAGCATCTCGCCCAGTCGTGCACAGGGA